CAATTGTGACTGGGCGTGGTTCCGCACCTCTAATCCCAGCATTTGGGAGGCTGAAAACAGGAGGATCACTATGAGTCTGATCTGTGTAATGAGACTCTGTAGACCCTGTACTAAAAAAATTAAAAAAAAAAAAAGAGGGCAGCATGGAGGCGCTGTGAGTGCTATACACCTCAGGTGGGTAGCCTGCTTTCACTATGAGGGGGGGAAAATTAGCTTGCTCTCCCCGTGTAGTGTGCTTCCTGCTTTTGCTGTCACCTGCTGCTGCCTGACACCACTAAACTTCATCATGCCACTCTGCTTTGGAGCCAGCTGAAACCTCCACAAACTGTGAGCTGAATAAACCTTTCCTTACTTAATTTTGGATGTCAGGGATGTTGTCTCAGCAACAAGAAAAAAGTAACTAGACAGACACTATTTGTTTCATAAAACAGTATTAACACATATTAGTCTGAAACAGCAAAAATGACTAACACACTTATCAGTGCTAGGATTATTAAAATAAGAGGCTTTGGGGACTAGGGATGTAGTTCAGTGGTACAGCACATGCCTAGCGTTGAGTGAGGACCTGGGATCAATCCCTAGTACTGAAAAAGAGAAAAAGATGCTTATCACCTTACATGACTATCAGTATATATTCATATCTAAAACTTCAGCTTTTGGCCTGCAAGCAGGCGCAGGGGCTAGGGGTTTGATCCTGGGGGCCTGCAGTGCCAGCCTCACATCCAGAGCATGCTAAAACAGAGATTGAGATTGGGCATGGTAGCATGCTGGGAGGCTGTAAACAGGACAAACACTATGAGTCCGATCTAGTAGTGAAACCCTCCACACCCTGTAGACACTTCCCTAAAATACAGGAAAAAAAAAGAAAAGAAGAAAACCTAAAAATTAAGCTTTTACAACAGTTTCAGGTTTAGGATTGTTACGTGGATAGCTATATTCAAGGCACAAGACTGTAAAATTTTTTATCAACTTACAAATATTTTATGGTTATTTTTCCTTTGCAAATACAATAAGCATTATAAAAACTAATTTAAACAGTACAAAGAAAATGAAAGATCTCTCGTGATCCTACTTAAGACATTATGGCAAAGTATGGCTATACTATAACTTTCATTTAACTCACTATTGAAAGACATTTTATTTTATTTCAAACTGCACAGCTTTAAAAAATATCTATAATGTACACTGTCTACTTACTTCCTTTTATAGCTTCTAGAAGCACAACTGCCAAATCAAAGGGTATGTACTTTTTAAAGTACAGTATATACTGTATTGTAAAACTGCCTTTTGAAAGGTTACACTGATTTACACAGATGCTACAACTATTTTGGTGAGCCTGTTTCCTTAATGCTAAAACACTTTTTTAAATACTACATTCAAAGTCTCAAAATCCTTGATTTAGAACTGTTTGTCAATTTGGGATTTTTTTAATGTAGGACAGGGTCTACCTAGTCTACAGGGTCTCACTACATAGATCAGACTCGTAGTGATTCTCCTGTTTTCAGCCTCCCAAGTGCTAGGATTACAGGGGAATTTCTAACTGTTCTTTCTTGTTAGGGAAACAAAAAGAAAATAACATTGAAACCACTGAAAAGTTAGTACCTAATAAATATCAAATGTACACACTTAATATTTAAGGATTGGTAGGCAACTTATTTAACTAAAGCTTTTAGTCCACACACATTAGTGTATGGAAAAAAAAAATTCAAATCTTAGTGAGTTGATGCATCAGAGTACTATATATAGTAGTATATATTCTTTCTTTGTGACATTGCTAAAAGTATTTTCTCTTCTAAATAAAATGGTACCTTTTGACTTTCTTATGAGTAAACACTTTCAATGGATAACATCTCCATAAAAATAGGACCAGTGGTAGTAATTAAAATATTCATTTAATTATGACACTAACATATGCTCTTACAACAAATACATTCAAGTTATTTGGCACTACTGAAATAAAAAGCATTTCAGAAATATAATATTTTGTTTGCAGTACTGGGAACTCAACCCATGGCTTCTGCACTGAATTACACCAACCTTCTTTATTTTTTATTTTGAGACCGGATCTTGTTAAGTCACTGTATTGCCCAGACTGGGCTCAAATCCCAGCCTGCCAAAGCACTGAGATTACAAGCATAGGCCAGCATATCCAACTCAAAAATAAAATTTTTAAAGACAGCTGACATCTCATCTTTTAAATAGCAAAAATGACTTATTTCAAAAATGTATAGTATAACTAAATATCAATTTCATTAAATAGACAACAAATTAACCATGTTTTCTTGATCATTCAAGATCAATCAATGATCATACTTTTCAGAAACTCAATAACAGTTTTGATATTTAGGAGACTCAGTTGGTGCTCAGAATTATACTACTCAGCTAACAATACTATGCTTTTAGTTTTCTCTATATTCCTTTGCCAAACAGTCACTTTTCTTCTTGTCACTGTGCCAAACTTTAACAGCCCACCAGCACCATTCTTCTGGTTTGCTATTTATAAAAAGCTGTGGGCTACAAAATCTGATATCAAACATTATTAAGGGCTGCCTAGGTTATGAGTAAAAGGATAAAGTACAATTTCCGATGAAAGGTTCTATGCACAGTTATTTTAGGTTTATGGCAATTATATTTCCATACGCTGTTCCAGGTTTATCGGGTAGCTTTCTTAAGTCTGATTCTCAGACTCAGTAGAGTATCACTGCACTTGATTAATTAACACTTTAGTATGGGTTTCTAGCTTAATAGCTAGTCCTAATTTCTTTAAGTTAACTTGCCTGGAGTTACTTAGTCCTATATATAATAAAGGTGTTGTTAGAGAGTATTATTTTTTAAATCTCAAATCACAGCCCAGCAGTGGCTCATGAAACCAATGAATTCCAACCAATATTTAAAATAAAATTAGGGTTGAAGGTGCAGAGAAAATCCTTAGCATGCATAAGACCCTGCGTATAATCTCCAGCAGGCAGGGAGGGAGAGAAGGAAGGAAAATAGGAGGCCATAAGGTCTAAACCATTTAATAGGAATTTTCTTGATTTACTCCCATAATCTTATGTTATTACTCTGCTGTTTACTTGTAATGAGTTTATGCTCATGTTTTGAAATAAATTAAGACTTTTAAAATTTGTCAGTTTTAATTTCCAACATAGTAAATGTATAGAACCCTCAAAGCTTTTTAATAATGTCTTTTAAAGATTTTTGAAACTGTACTCAGAGTAACATTTTAGCCACTCAAGGGTATGGTAGTACACAGTGTATTAATTGTTATTATCTAATTATTTTGCTATGAAATTTTATTTTTAATAAGAATGCTTTTTATATTTCCTTTATTAATGTTAATAAAATATTATTTCATTATTAATTTAAATAAAAAATAAACTGATGTTTCACAAGATAAAAAAAGTTTCAGAACTACTTGTCTAAGAGCTTATCATTAGTTTTAAATCACACAATAGAAACAGTTAGACTCCAAATGACTAGAGTACTATTCTATGAAGAGGATGTTTTAAACAGTGCTTCTTTAAAAAAAAAACAAGTGCTTCTTTATTCCTGAGATATTTATCCCTAAATATAATAAAAATAATAAATAAATTACCTTTCTGCTTGTAGAATTAAACTGACAGTTCCTTCTTTGAGATCAAATATAAGTGGTGTATTCCAGTTTTTCGTACTGAAAAACAAAATATATTTATTACATTTAAAATATAAACTTTTAAATATGTAGTACTCATTTAAATATTTATTTAAATATAACTCATTTAAATAACACATAGTTTCACAGTAATTGTATACATACTTTCATTAATAGCACTTGATGTGTTGTTCTGAAATTATCCACTTTCATGTCTGTATTCCCAACCAGTAAACAGCCTCTGTCCCCAGAAATTAGCAAACAGTAGGCATTCAATAATATTTATTGTAGGTGTTATATAATACATGAAGTAAGGATTCCTAAGTGTAAGTCCCAGTTCTGCTATTTATTAGCTCTGTGTCAAGGGTCTAATGTTTCTTATCTGAAAAACAGTGGCAGCATGGCAACAGTGAGAAGAGGCTAGATCTGGGTGCTATATGATCTTAGTAAGCTTAGTTGAACACCATGATATGCACCACTAAGCCTAGCACCCTGGGAGGCCGAGACAGGTGAACTGCAAATCTGTACCCAACCTGGGAAGTTCACTGATTTAGTGAAACCCTGCTTCAAAATAAAAAATCAATTAAAGAGGGAAGGGTGGAGGCATACTTTAGTATAAAGACACTGAGCTCAAGGTGAAAAAATAAATAAAAATTTCAACAATCTTAACATCTAAGCCATCAGTGCCCTTATCTGTAGAATGGGGATAATGATTTAAATTAATCTAGCAAATTTCTTTTTCTAAAACTACAATAACAATCAAAGATGAATATGATTATTTTTTGCTGCAGGTACTCCAATATTATTGTAATGATTTTGGTAAACCATTCTATAATTTGTGAAATGCTGTATGAATTATGACCATGCTTATTGAAAAATTGATGAATGAATAAATAATTCCTTCTGTTTCTGTAGGATAATGTGATTCAAAGATTGGGCTGGATGAAGAAAACATTTATAGGGCCAGCCAGATAGCTCAGCAGACTAAAGAACCTGCTTAGGCAGACCGAGGGACCAGGGTTCGATCCCTGGCATACAGTGCAGGCCCCACCCCCAGGGCACGCTGAGATGGCAACTGAGACTGTGCATGGTGGCACACACCTGTAATCCCAGTGCTTGGGAGGCTGAAAACAGGAGGATCACTAGGAGTCAGATCTGCATAGTGAGAACCTCTAGATGTTGTACTAAATACATTTAAAAAATAAAAAAAGAAAACATTTAAAATGGAAAGTCCACCCTAAAATAATCAGTTGTTTAATAGTTTAAAATAAAAGTTTATGTAGTGCTACTCCTTACATATTCTAAATGATCTTCAATAACTCCTGTAGAACCAGTATTTTAAAGCAATGTAACTCTCATGTTCACACCCAGAAGATGGAAAAGAAGGAAGGTTTCAATGAACAGGCAAACTGGTGGACAACTAATCTTGGCTAATGCAGAATTTGATACCCATTTTAGTAGGTGAAGGAATATACATAAAATGCAAAACAACAAATGATAAATAATTAGTCTGGGGTTCACATGTCTGATATTTTACGTGCTCCTATATTTGCAGGAAAAATTTCACAGCATGCTTTATGAACTCAGTCACTGAATTAACCTTCATTCTCCGCCTGAAAGAGCTGGTAGGAAAAGTTATCATGTAGTGTTTTTTACAATGTCCTCTTCGAAAAATCTGTCATTTCTGACAACTGAGCTATGTCATAGAAATAATAATTTTTTTAAAAAGCTCCATAAACTATCATGTTTTTTTGTTTGTTTTTGTTTTTAACTTAAATTTATCATCATTTAAACAAAACTATGTGAGATAAAACATAAGCAATTACAAGTAATGGACAAAGATATAACAAAATTTGAAGCATAGAAAAAGTTGGCTAACTGAACAAGTCACAAATCAGAATCAATGGAACAGAAGAAAACTCTTACTTCCAGCCAATGATCTCAGTGAAGGGCT